GAGAGGCCCCCAGGAGAACCAAACGAGGGCCCTGTAGCCCAAGACAGCCACAAGAATTGTCCAAGAGGGCCCTAGAACGATCCGAGAACCCAAACAAAGAGAAAAGTATGTCAGCTTTTCAATGCGCCCTGACAATCGCTTATGCTGTCCCAGACATGTTCCGACATCGGCCCCAATAACCCCAGGATTGGCCTCACAGGCCCTAACTCAGCACCAATATTGCCCATCATAAACAAAACGTGGATCTCAGAGGCTCCCATTGGGGCGATTTAAGTGTCGAATTTTGGGGGGCTCGACTTCGCGTGACAGGGCCAACAGAAGATGGCGAGACCTAGTCTGAAACTTGATGCGAACTCCAGCTGCAAACATCTCACGGCAAAAGGACCGCCACACATCGGCCAAGACATCAAATACTCAGGGGCAAAGCAGAGTTCCTGCTAACTCGAATCGCATGTCTCCCCGATCGTAGCTGGCCAAATAAACAACGAGAAAGCTCCCAGATGGTCCCAAGATGATTTCGGCAATGCCGTGTCGTGAGAACTCCTGCGCTGATTTCTGACACCGCGTGGCTCGTTCAATCTTGGAAGGATCGGCGGCTGTTCGATCGCCAAAGCGTCCCACACTGGCAGACTCTGGGCCATCGGAGGCGTTCTACCTTGAACCCCCGCGGCGGCGTCGCAGCCGCGCCGAAACGACGAGACGAGCCTACCGCGGTCCCAGGATGGCTCGGCGCCGGTGGCGCGTGGCGGGGGGAGCAGCCCCCTGAGCTCCGGCCCACCCCGCGGCGTATTCATGGGGGGTGCTGGACTGCAGTTTTTTTCGAGGGGCCCAATCCAAAGTGTTCCCACAGGTCCTGCGCACTGCGCCTCCGCGCCCCTGGCACTATACATATATATATATATATATATATATATGTATATATATATATATACATATACAGATACACACACATATATATATATATATATATATATATATATATATACATATATATGCATGTATGTGCCCACACGTTAGGCACATACGATGAACAATTTTGCTGTGCGAAGTCTTGGGGCACCTTCTTCGTCTAGGTTTGAGCTTCCCCAAATGGCCAAGGGCTTGGGTGGGTCCCTGGGGCCACTTGGGGATACGCAACTTCCGTTGGGCACCGGCTGGCAGGCCTATCTCTTATTCGATAAGTCTACTTTTCTAAGGTGTTGAACCGTCCTCTTCCACCCAAGACGGTTCGCAGAGACTATCCAGCATGCCCCCGACGCAATCAAGCCGGTCCAAGATGGCCCGAGAGGCCTCCCAATGGGCTCCAGATGCCTCCAGGAGGGTCTGAGAGGGCCCAAGACGGCCTGAGATGGCCCCCGGCCGGCCCTGATGGCCGTTCAAGACACTCAAGATGGCCCCAAGAGGACCCCAAGAGACAGCCCTCAAGAAGGCCCAAGGTACAGTCGGGGGCTTGACCTAAGGAACCCAAAATCAGAACGAGGCCCCTTTTTTCCATAAGTTAGACTTCGATTTCCGATCGAAAACATAAGGAAAACCTGAGGCAAGATGCGAAACACTCAAGGAACGCGGAGCCCCTCCCCAACGAAAAGTGTTCCTTCTTCAGGGCCCCGACTGTGGCCCCAAGACGGCCTTACATGGCCCGCAACCGGCCCAGGACGGCTCGGAGAGGTCCCCAAGGCGGCCTTCGACGGCACCAGGCGGCCCAAGAGCGCCCTGCGACGGCCCGCCAGGGCCCCGAGAGGGCCGAAAGCAGGCCCCCGCCGAACCGCAGGGATGCCCAAGGCAATCCCGGGACGGCAAGCGAGCGCCTCCAGGAGCTGATTTCGATCACCTGTTCGAGATGTTGGGGAGCCACATGCGAAACCTACCCCTACCCCCTACGATTTCTGAGGGGGAGGGTGGGGTTCACTTCGTTCGGGAGCTCGCGAGCGAAGTGAACCCCACCCTCCTCCTCAGAAATCGTGGGGGGTAGGGGTAGGGTTCGCATGTGGCCCCCGAGATGTCCTTCCGCATTGATTCTCGGCCACGCATGCCGGTGAAGGCATTCCCGCGGATCCTTGTCCCTGCGCCCCCGCCCCCTGGCGTCGTCGCCACTGGTAGGTGAGCGTGGCTGCGGCATGCAATCGTGCTGCTTCTCGTTCTACAAATACGGTCAAATCTGCCACTGCCGCAAACTACTATTTGGCGACTGTGCCGCTTCAAGTGGCCCTGGATGCGAAATACCGAAATTGGTGATCTTGATTTGGGCGACGGCGCCTGTGCTAAACCACTGGGTACCCTCGGTGCACAGTCTAGATTTGGCAAGGGGCTGACATCATAATCGCTTGAAAGCGAAAACATGCTTCTCGCATTGCTGAATGTGGCGGTGGCGTCGTAAACAATTGCACAGCAACAAACCGAGCGAGATACAAACAACAATTAGCAATCTCCTTTTTATGCATGCTAGAACACCTTGTACCAGCACTCCCGAATTCTATGGCCACTGGGATGGCCACTTGGTGTTCTAAGGATAAAACGGATCTTCAAGCGAATGCCAAGTTGGTCATATCTGGCCCGACCTGGCTTGAGTGGGTTACACATACCCTAAGCGGCTTAGGGGGGATCGATAACTCTAATAGGTGAGCGGAGCCCACTAAGCCCAGATCGTTAACCCCGCGAAGCCACTCGGGGCATGTGCAACCCACTTATAGGCCAGGTTGGGCCAGATATAGTTAACCAAATTGGTATCCGCCCCATATCCCCCTAGCAACCCAGTGGTCATCCTAGCACAGTCACAGTGGGCGTGCCCCAAAAGGCATGGAGGCGGATGCCATGAGTAGAGGGCAGGAAAACCACCCTCATAATCCCACCAGCCCTCTGGGCGCAGGTGGCCCAACGGTGCCTTTCCTTCCTCTTCCCAAGCCCATCTTCCCGTCGGGGAGGGTCAACCCCCCTCCCCTCCCAGAGGTATTTCGGCGGGGGGGCCCTGGTGTCGGAGGGTCTCTTTTTCGCCCAAGATGGCTTCAAGAGGACCTCGGATGCCCCAAGATGCCTTCAAGCTGGCTCAAGATAGCGCAAAATCGCTCAGGATGGCCTTCATGACGGCTCAAAGAAGCCCCGAAAGGGCCACAAGACGATTCAAAGTGTTCCCGGGGGCCCCTCGGGACCCCAGGAAGCCCAAATCCTCAAACACCTGAGGCACATCAGTGATCGATACCTTCTCGCCTTTTTGCTAGCGATGCGCCCTGAAGGCCGCAATATGGGCCCAAGATGGCCCACGAGAGAATCCAAAGGGACCAAGGGGCCCCAAGACTGCCCCAAGAGCGCCCAAGATCTGCCCAAGCGCGCCCAAAGAGGTGGCGTTGATGGCCCCAGAGGGGGGAAGCGAATCTACGACCCTACCCCTCGTGGATCGATCGCCTCCAAGATGTCCCCAAGAGACCTTACAGGGCCCCAGCATGAAGGCCCCAAGAGAGACTCAGGAGGGCCCCAAGACAATCCAAAAGAGCACCAACAGGACCTCAGGACCCCCCCCCAAAAAAGAAACCCAAGAGGACCCCAAGAGGGCCTCATTTTCATCCTCCTTGTCCTCGTCCTCCTCGTCATCGTCCTCCTCCTCCTCGTCTTCATCCTTTCTCTCCTCGACGTCATCCTTTCTGTCCTCGTCTTTTTCCTCGTCATCCCTCCTCGTCGTCGTCCTCATCCTCGTCCTTACTCTCGTCGTCTTCCTCGTCCTTGTTCTCCTCTTTCTCTTCTGCCTTCTCCTTTTCCTTCTCCTCTTCCTCCTCCGCCTGTTCCTCTCGTCGTCGTCCATATCCTCCTCCTCCTCCTCCTCCTCCTCCTCCTCCTCCTCCTCTTCCTCCTCCTCCTCCTCCTCCTCCTCCTCCTCGTCCTCCTCCTCCTCCTCCTCCAATTACAGGCCCCGGGGGCGACCCCCTACACACGCTAAGTGTGGCGGGTGGGCGCGGGGGTGGCGGGGGCTAGGCGATGCGCAGATGTGCACCGACTGGTGATATTTGATTTGATGAGGATGGTAGGGTGGTGCGGGGCGGGGTGGCCGGAGGGGGTGGAGGAGGGGTAGAGTTCCACTGGAGCTCCTAATTACAGGCCCCAGGGGCGACCCCCCCTACACACACACACTAAGTGTGGCGGGTGGGCGCGGGGGTGGCGGGGGCTAGGCGATGCGCAGATGTGCGCCCAATGGTGTTATTTGATGAGGGTGGTAGGGGGGTGCGGGGCGGGGTGGCCGGAGGGGGTGGAGGAGGGGTAGAGTTCCACTGGAACCCCTGATTACAGGCCTCAGGGGCGACCACCTGCACACGCTGAGTGTGGCGGGTGGGCGCGGGGGGGGCGGGGGCTAGGCGATGCGCAGGTGTGCACCGAATGGTATTATTTGATGAGAATGGTAGGGGGTGCGGGGCGGGGTGGCCGGAAGGGGTAGAGAAGGGGTAGAGTTCCACTGGAACCCCTAATTACAAGCCCCAGGGGCGACCCCCTGCACACGCTAAGTGTGGCGGGTGGGCGCGGGGGTGGCGGGGGCTAGGCGAGGCGCAGATGTGCACCCAATGGTGTTACTTGATGAGGATGGTAGGGTGGTGCGGGGCGGGGTGGCCGGAGGGTGGAGGAGGGGTAGAGTTCCACTGGAGCCCGTAATAACAGGCCCCAGGGGCGACCCCCGACGCACGCTAAGTGCGGCGGGTGGGCGCGGGGGTGGCTGGGGCTAAGCAATGCGCGGATATGCACCGAATGGTGTTATTCGATGAGGATGGCAAGGGGGGGGCCGCGGCGGGGTGGCCGGAGGGGGTGGGGAAGGGGTAGAGTTACACTGGAGCCCCTAATAAAAGGGCCCAAGGGCGACCCCCTACACGCGCTAAGTGTGGCGGGTGGGCGCGGGGGGGGCGGGGGCTAGGCGATGCGCTGATGTGCCCCCAATGGTGTTATTTGATGAGGATGGTAGGGGGGTGCGGGGCGGGGTGGCCGGACGGGGTGGAGGAGGGGGAGAGTTCCACTGGAGCCCCTAATTACAGGCCTCAGGGGCGACCACCTGCACACGCTGAGTGTGGCGGGTGGGCGCGGGGGGGGGCGGGGGCTAGGCGATGCGCAGATGTGCGCCCAATGGTGTTATTTGATGAGGGTGGTAGGGTGGTGCGGGGCGGGGTGGCCGGAGGGGGTGGAGGAGGGGTAGAGTTCCACTGGAGCCTCTAATAACAGGCTCCAGGGGCGACCCCCTACACACGCTAAGTGTGGGGGTGGGCGCGGGGGGGGCGGGGGCTAGGCGATGCGCAGATGTGCACCGAATGGTGTTTTTGCGAAGGCCTTACGGCCAGTGCCAGTGCCGCCGACCCTGAAAACGACGAAGATGAAAACGAGGGGGGGGCAGGGGGAGGACTGAGGAGGATGAGTGGGAGGTGGAGGAAGGGTGGGGGAGGTGGATGAGGGAGGAGGAGGGGGGAGAAGGATGTGGAGGAGAAGCAAGAGGAGGAGAAGGGTACAGAGGGGAGCAGGAGAGGGGGGCAGAGGGGGGGAGGAGAGGAGGAGGAGAGGGAGGAGGAGGAGGAGGACGAGGAGGAGGAGGAGGAGGAGGAGAGGAGGAGGAGGAGGAGGAGGAGGAGGAAAAGGAGGAGGCCAGAGGCTTTCTTGGGACAGCCTGGGGCTCTCTTGAGGCCGTCTTGGGCGGTCCAGGGCTCCTCTAGCGCTGTCTCGAAGCACTCTCGGAGGCCTCCTGGGCAATTTGGGGCTCTCCTGGGCTGTCTCGGGGCAATGTTTGGGGCCTCTTGGGCCGTCTTGGAGGCGTCATGGGCCGTCTTGGGGCCTTCTTCGGCCGTTACGGGACCCTCGTGGGGGCCTCTTGGGACGTCTCGAGGCGATCTTGGGGGCCTCTTGGGCCGTCGTGGCGCGTCGGACAAAATACACCACGGACTTGAGCTACGTTGCCAGAGGAGTGGATCGGGCTCGCAACGGGAAACTGCCCAAAACGCATAAGGACCTCTGGCTGCGGTACCGCGAAGCGGCCAAGCTGAAGAAGATTGTGGCCGCGAAGATCGACAACAATACGTCGGTGACGGATGCTATCGAGTCGGGGTCGACATGAGATACTTCGTGGGCAACCACTTGGCCGACGAGCACATGGAAGGCATCGCGGAGGAGGTGCAGGTCCCGGAGAATCAAGTTCGCGGAAGACGTTGCGAAGCAGATCCCAAAGAGGGCGCTCGGGACGCCCATGGCGGCGATGGAAGCGGAGCCATCTCAGCAGCCTACGGTCAAGGAGCGCAGCTCGTCGCGAACACAACACACATAACCATAGAGGACCCGAACGCGAAGTATTTCAAGTGCGAGCAGTGCGGCGGGAGGGTGCCGAAGCACAAGTCGGACGCCTGGTTGAAGGAGGCATGCGCGGAGCTGGTGGCAAAGGAGGCGTCGCCGTTCGGCACGAAGCTGAGCCAGGTCGTCCAGGTGGTATTGCAGAAGGCGCACGAGACGCATCTCGCGGAGTACGACGCGACCTGCGGTCTGCGGCTGCATCGCGATGGAGGTGATGAAGGATCTGGCCGGGATCCAGAACTTGCAGCTCAGCGTGGGCGCAGGCCTGCAACGCGGCCCAGACGCTGGCGATCAAGAAGCCGAGCACGGCTGGTGCTGCGGCCAGCGGAGTTTCGAGGGCCTCAAGGGCTACTTGTTCGAGGTGAAGCTCATCGTGGACCTGATTGCCGCTGTTTGCGGCGTCGGAAGTGCTGGCGCCGAGCCTCGGCCTCGGGATGCGCCACACCTCTGCCACACACACATCATCATAGTCATAACCATAATCATCATGAGCAGCAGCATCATCATCTTCTTCATCAGCATCATAATCATCATCAGCATCATCATCTCGTCGTCGACGTCGTCGGCGTCATCACCACCATCATCGTCGTCAGCATCATCAGCGACATCACCATCACCATAGCCATTACCATCATCAGCATCATCCTCACCCTCATCATGCGCATCCTCATCCTGATTATCATCATCATCATCATCATCATCATCATCATCATCATCATCATCATCATCATCATCAGCAGCATCATCATCAGCATCAACATCTCCATCAACATCACCACCACCATCAAAATCATCGTCGCCGGCATCCTCCTGAGGCTGTTGTGTCGGGCACTGCCGAAGCACGCGTCACTATGTCACGCCTGGTTAGGTCAGCCTTTTCATCACACAACACTCCAGATGCGCCCTTTGCTTTGATAAGCACGAGATTGACCAGTCCAAGCGTGATTCAGCAGCTGACCGATCAATCACAGATCGCTGCAAGCAAAACAATTAAGATGTCGTGCGCATCGCACTTTAACGCATGAACTCTCCAACGAGCCAGCGCTGCTGGGCGCGGAGCGCTGCCGTACGCTCCCACGCCCACCTTCTCAACCTTGCGGTACTTGTCCGCAGAGGTGGTGCCGAAGCCGCCGAGATACTGCGGGCGTGTTGGGGCAGTACGAGTCGCCAGGAAAGCAGTCACATGACACAATGCGTGCTTGCGTTTGGCGCCCCCGCGCCCCCCGAACCCCGCGCACCAAAGGTCACTCCAACGCAAGGTCACTCGTGCGCACAACCAAGGGATATCACGACGACGTCACAAAGGAACTGCCCCGCGGACACGTGCATGTTGATGCCTATATCGGTGAGACGTAAGACTCGGGTTCGGGGGACTCGGGTTGGCCTGACGGGGGCCATCATGAACATGACAAGCCCCCGTCCGAAATCTGACGCGAGCTCCCAGTGAAAACATCACACGAAAACAGGACCGCCGAAATCCAGTACGCGCTCCGCCAAAGGCGACGGCAAACCCGAGTTCCAGCGAACTCGAGGCTTACGTTTCACTAGAGGCTTCCTAGATGGGGTCGGAGCAGATGGGGTCGAAGGATCGCGCCGCATCGCAAGTGCATCGAAGACGTCGGCGTGGAGAAAATCGGGCTCCACATCGAGCCGCATCGCCGATGCGCCAGCGATGCGGCGCGATCCTCCAACCCCATCTACTCCGACCCCATCTGGGAGGCCTAGAGTTTCACCGATGGAGAAGATGTGTGCTTCTGCTCCTGGAGCCCATCCTGGGGTGCGCTCTGCCCAGCACTCCAGCGCGAAGCTCGCCTCGGCGACGAGGGCCCCCCTGGAGGCACCGAGAGGGCGGAGACGAGGGGAGCGCAGCGGCAACGGTACGTTTGCGCACAGCTTCGACATCCGCTCGGGATCTGTCCGCAAGCACTTCTCCCGGAATCCATCCTGGCCAAATCCCACCAGCTCTCTGGGCGCAGGTGGTTTCACGACCAGTGTCTTCTCTCTCCCCTTCCTTCCCCTGCTCGGGGGAGGGGTTTACCCCTCCCCTACTTGGAGCTTCAAGATGGGCCCAAGATTGCTCCAAGAGGGCCCTCGGCAGCCCAAGACGGCCTCCAAGATGGCTCAAGATAGCCAGAGATGGTTTAATACAGCCTCCTACATACCTCCACGAGGCCCCAAGGCAGCCCCCAGACGGTTTCAAGTGCCCTTGAAGCCTTCCTACACGCCCTCAAGAGGCCAGAATCTTTCAAGAACCCGAGGACCATCACTGTGTTCTGACTTCTCGCTGTTTCGCCTCCGGTGGGGCTTTTATGCCTCAAGATGGCCCCAAGAAGACCCAGGGGAGATCCCCGAGAGGGGCTCCATAGCGTCCCAAGGTGACCCCCGAGGGCCCCAAGGCGCCATTTTTGAGTCTCCGAGGGCGGGCCTGAGCCATGCGGGCCAAGAGGCCGCCTTCCCGACCCCTCCAATCAGCCCCAAGAGGGCCCCAAGAGGGCCCCAAGAACGAGCCCTAGGAGGGCTCCAAGAATGCCCCGAGTGTCAAGAGGCCCCGCAGGGACTGCAAGAGAGCCCGTAAGATGGCCTGAATCGTCGTTCAAGTACTTCTCACAACAACATAGCTCCCAACCCCCACTTATCGTCCTCATTTTCATCGTCCGTTCCTTCCCTCCTCAATTCCTGCCTCCTCCCTCCTCCTTCTCCTCCTCCTTCTCCTCCTCCTCCTCCTTCTCCTCCTCCTCCTCCTCCTCCTCATCATCATCATCATCATCAGCAGCAGCATTATCATCGTAATCAGCATCATCAACAGCAGCAGCACCATCCTCCATCTCCTCCTCCTCCTCCTCCTCATCATCATCATCACCATCATCGTCATCACTATCATCATATCCATCTTCATCTTCATCTTCATCTTCACATCCATCTTCATCTTCATCTTCAGCATCTTCTTCATCTTCATCATCTTCATCGTATTCATATTCACCATCATGAGCTTCATCATCAGCATCATCATCATCATCATCATCACCACCACCACCACCACCACCACCACCACCACCATCATCATCATCATCATCATCATCATCATCAGCATCATCATCATCATCATCAGCATCATCATCATCATCATCATCATCATCATCATCATCATCATCATCATATTCCTCATGCCGCACTCCTTCTCCTCCTCTTTTTCCTCCTCCTCCTCCTCCTCCTCCTACTCGTGTCTTCCTCTTCCTCTTCCTCCTCCTCCTCCTCCTCCTCCTCCTACCCCCAATAGTCCCAGGGGGTCGAGCATGGCTCAAGATAGCCTCCGACAGACATCCAAGAGGCCTCAAGGCAGCCTCAAGATGGCCCAAGATAGCTGAGCATGGCTCAAGGTAGCCCCCGACAGCCACTAGCCGAACAAGCCACCGATCGTGTCTGCATGGGCCGGTAGGGATACGCGAGGCGCAAAGAACTGTCATCCCGGATGTACGTACGACAGTCCCAGTGCCCGCAACGGGTCGGCCCGAGGCAGGAACGGAGGTGAAGCCTGGCGAGATGTTTGCTCGTTCTCCTCCGAGTGGTGTGCTGCCCTCAGCTGCTCGTGCGACCCGCGCACTAAAGCACGGCTGGGATTATGCCGGGCCTGCCCCCCTACAGGGGGATTTTCGACGAAAAAATAAAAATACCCCAAAAATGCCCCAGAAAGGTCCGAAAATACTCCAAACATAATCCCTGGACTATTTTTTGATTATTTTTAGGGCATTTTTTCCTAATTTTTCGTCGGCAATCCCCCGGTAGGGGGACAGGCCCGACATAAGGCTGCGAAACTCGGCGGTGGACAAACCTCCCTTTAGTAGACCTCCCCTTAGTGAAAACAGCCTGGGACCGAAATCGACGGACCTGGACCCGCAAAAACGACGGCCGCGACGCCCTCTCGCGAACCGAAAACAGCCAATTCCTTAATCGACGTGTCAGGGTAGGAGGTCTGTCCAACCCCGAGAAACAGAGCCTCTCGAACGCCCGCGCGGAGCTCCCGGGCCGGCGCCGGAGCCCACCCCAGGCGGCGGCTCCGCGCGCGCAGGGGGGGGAGGCCCAACGCCGAAGGGCTTCTCAGAAGGAGGCTGCTTCTTCTTCTGTTTCTTCTTCGTCTTCTTCATCTTCTTCTTCTTCTTCTTCTTCTCAGGCGCGGGCCTCACATCTACATATGAAGGCCCACGGCGGGGACTCTGGCCAAGGAGCCCCTCGTTGGCGACGAGCAGAAGGGGGGGTAAGGGGGAGGGGGGGAAGGGCTTCTCAGATCAGGGGGACGTGAGACATGGGTACAGTGGACTCGGAAATCCCCGACGAGGTCGTCAAAAAAATGACGAGGCCGAGCCTGCATTTTGACGAGGCCTCCCGCTGCAGACATCCCACGAAACTCCTCCTCATCAAAATCCGAGGCGCGGTCGTTGAAAAACGATGGCGAACCCGAGTCCTGGCAAACCCGGGTCTTACGCTCCCCCGATCAGAAGGAGGCTGCTTCTTCTTCTTCTTCTCAGGCGCGGGCCCTACATCTACAGAGAAGGCCCGCGCCTTCTGAGAGGCAGGGGCGTTTCTGAGAAACCATCCCCCCTCCCCCTACCCCCCTCTGCGCGCGGCTGGCCTAGACAAGAGAGATCCAGGGGCTCGAAGCCTTCAGATCTCCAGCCGTGGATCGGCCATGGATGTCACCGCCGCACCCATCGGACAAGAAATCCTCCAGGGCCTGCAGCCGCCCGGGCACATCCCTTCACGCAGGCCCCCACCGTCCCACCCTGACCCTCCAGAGAGCTATTTTTTAGCACGGGAGGCCTCAAAACCTAAAAACCGACACGAAACAGCCCAACACCAAGACGTAGAATAGCTCTGGGACAGGCTTCTAAGTCGCGTGCTATTTTTTGGCCCTCCTGGAAGGTCAGGGCAGTTGGCCCTTCGCGAGGAGGGGCGGAGAGGCACGGGGCCAGGGCCAGGACATCTGCGCCTGGCGTGCCGCGGCGGCGTCGGCGGCCCCTGCGGTGCGCCGTGCCCTGCAAGCGGCCAGCGTGCCGCGCCGCGCCGCGGCGAGGGAGGCGGGGAAGGGCGCGGGACGCGGACGCCCCGAGAGACCGCGGCGTGGCTGGCCTGTCGCGCCGAGCGAGAAGGCGGGCCAGAGAGCCGGCGGCGCGGCACGCTGCGCAGACGTTCCCGACGCGCATCGGCCTCTCTGCACCTGCTGCTCCTGCCCCCTGCCCCTGCTGCTGCTCATCCGAGCCCGGACTCCCACCAGCACGGGCCGCCCGACCCCTGTAATATATATATATATATATATATACACACATACATACATACATACATACATACATACATACATACATACATACATACATACATACATGCATGCATGCATGCATGCATGCATGCATGCATGCATGCATGCATACATACATACATACATACATACATACATACATACATACATGCATGCATGCATGCATGCATGCATGCATACATACACACACACATACATACATACATACATACATACATACATACATACATACATACATACATACATACATGCATATACACCTACCTACCTACCTACCTACCTACCTACCTAACTACCTGCATAGATACATACATACATACATACATACATACATACATACATGCATGCATACATACATACATACATACATACATACATACATACATATGTATAAGCATGTGCGTATATATGTGTATATATACATATATATATACATGTGTATTTATGGCGAGGCTGTCCTCGGTGCGCCTCAGCTTGCTGGCTGGCAGCTCCCCTCCACGGGGCCGCGCGCGGCAGAAAGGTGAGAAGGTGGAGAGACGGAGGAGAGAAGGAGCGACATCATGAGGTGGATTGTACGCAGAGGTTCTTGAGGTTTTCAGGAACGAGGAGATGAGAAGAAGACTTGAAAGAAGAGGAGGCATACATAACAACTATGTTGTACGTTCGCTTCGTTCGGACTGAATTGAAAACTATCTAAAATAAGGGCCCACACAAACTGACCCAAGACGACCTCTGACAAAGATTACATGTGGTCTGCGAACATAGACACTCATCATGAGTTGAAAAGACGACATTGGTCAGGAGTTGAAAAGACCCCGCTCGGAGTGAGCTGCCTGCCGAACGCGGTAGCAACACGATGAACGCAGAAATCGAGCTGCCACGATCGGGTTGAGCTTCCATGGCATGGCCGAGCGAATGCTCTGGCAGCAAGCTGGCACGCTCGGAGTGGGCTGTCCCCGAATGGACCTCACACTCAAGCTGCTTCAAGCCACTCAGCGCAAGCGGGGACCTGACTGATGCACGTCGCCATGGCCCGCGCATGCGCTTCGGCAAGGCGGCCTGCAGAAGGCAACTGGTATTCTACACGCGCGAGATTGTCCGTTATGGGTACGTAAATGGTAAGTGCCACGTCCTTTGTCTGCATCGAAGGCGCAACCAATAAACTACTGCGCTGAATGCCACACATTCAAGACTCACGCGGATGGACGACGTGCATACCTACGCTCTGCAGCAAACGCGTCGCTGACGCCGGATGGTGCTCTATGCGATGGCAAATTGGCGCTATCAGAAAAAAGGCGAGACATGGGCTTGCTAATCAAGGATTGGGGCGGTCAAATCCCTCCGTGTTATCCCTTCGTTGTGCCCCCTGCTTCTGGCCCCCTGCATTCTCGCGCCTCTGACGGCAACAAGCGTCTGCACATTCAAGACTCGGTCGCGCCAGGCCAACCCCCTTGCTCCAGATCCATGCTCTGCACGACCAATGTGTATGTGTTTGAACGGCCCCGTCTGGCAACAGCTTGTTAACTGTCGCTTTCTGAAATCGTCTCAAAGCGATGCAGCTCCGGGGTCAGACAAGCCGCCGGCTATCAATCTCCATGGTGGCAACTTCTACGTTAGCCGCACCCTGCCGCGCTTGCTGAGTGCACTGAGAAGCTGCTCGAAAAAAGGAAGGCCTGGTGACCCCAGTCTCCGACTTTTAGGGGTCGTCCGCTGGACAAACAACTCAGGCCAACTCGGGAGTATACGATGGGGGGTGCTTTCAGCATCGAAAGGGGTGCGTTCGGATAGCCCCCCCTGGGGTGTATCCCAGAGCTTCCCATATTTTCTGGGGGGGAGGGTTTTTTGAATGGACTCGGGACTTTGGGGCGAGAAATTGCCTGTGATCAACTTACTCAGGGGAACGACAAAAGGTTGTTAAAGCCAGGGCCAGTAAGCCTGATGTGGCCAGATTGGGCACACGATGAGGCTAGATGAAGCAGGCTTGCGACAGACTCAGAGGCACGAGTCTGGATCAGAGATATACCAGTGCCGATGCTGAATTTGACCTCCGAGGAGTTACAAGGACGACGCATTCACCGATCTTGGGCCGCATGAGCGGTGCATAAATCCGCCGATCCGGCGTCATAAATCCGCCGATCCGGCGTGTGAGTTTCAAGGAGTCTCAGCTACAGCCTCGAGGCTGAGCCTCAGCCTCTGGGGGGGTTGCCGGGGTGGCTCTGCCGGGGAAGGGCGGGTGGGGGGGGGGGGGTGCGAGTTTCCGGCGGATGCGGGGTGTGTTCCGCGGCCCCTCTGTAGACGCGCTCAAGGCCTGCCGGCAGACGCATAGAACCATTGGATTTCCGCGGCTGGCAATGAAACCGTCGCAGCGCGCTTTTTCAGAGAAACCAAACGTTTTAGGGTCTTCTGTGCGAGTGTCTGTGTGTGATGCGTGTCTGCAAATGTCTGTGCGTGCTAGTGTCTGGCGTGCGCCTAGTGTGTCTCTGTATGTGTGCCCGCCGTATGTGCATTTGCGTTTCCTAACTGGTATGTGTGTGTTGTTGGTGGTGGGTGTGCATGTCTGCGGCGCGGGTTGGGTGGTGTGACTGCGTGTGTGCGTTTGAACGCCCATAATGTCTGCGTCTGGAGAATAACCCCGAGCGACCCGGATCGGCGGCACTGGCCGAAGGCCACTACAATACGCATGGAAGACGTCGTTCGAGTCGTCCTCCCCTGAACACTCGGCCCCAGCACCTGGCCAGCGCTGATTCCAGGAATCCGCGCGGACCTCCGAAAGCGTACGCATATGCAGTTTGCTCTTCATCGAGCCCCTCGCCCTCGTCCTCGTCGCCCTTGCCTCACTCGTCTGAGGGAATAGAATGATGGGGGGACTGGCTCAGGGGGGGCATCGGGATGTAATCGGCGTTGCGTCGCCGTTAGATCGGGGATACACACACGACATCGACACCGCACGCTAGTGGACGGGCTGTTTGATCAGGCCCCCGTCAGCGATAAAGGGGCGATGGGGCCTCGATGGGTCCCCACTTGTCCCTGCGCCCTCTGATTACTGAACGTTACCCCTGGTGAATTTCCCTTGCCCTCGTCCTCGTCCTGCCCCTCCTCCTCCCTCCTCCTTCTCCTCCTCCTCCTCCTCCTCCTCCTCCTCCTCCTCCTCCTCCTCCTCCTCCTCCTCCTCCTCCTCCTCCTCCTCCTCCTCCTCCTCCTCCTCCTCCTCCTCCTCCCCTCCTCGTCGCGGCGACCAGAAACATGTCACAGACGCCCCCCCCCCCCGCCCACCCCCGCCCTCCGCATGGGCGGCCCCCCCGAAGCCCCCGGGCCCCCCCCAGATGGCCCAGGACCCCCACCCCCAAGAATGCAACCAACACGTCCAGGGCTCCCCAAAGACCCCCTCGCACGGCCCAGGAAGCACCGACAACTGGCCTCGCGGGAGCTCTTAGCAGCTCCAGAGCATCCCCCTCTGGTCCGTTTCCTCCTCCTCCTCCTCCTCCTCCTTCTCCTCCTCCTCCTCCTCCTCTTCCTCCCCCTCCTTCTCTCTCCGCCTTCTCCTCATACGATTGTAGACATGATGTGATGACAGTGCGGATTCATATTGATATGTGTTTGTAGTGTGTATATGTCTGCATACGTATATATATATATATATATATATATATATATATATATACATATTCGTATACATATGTGCACCTACATATGTACATATATATATATGTGAAAACAATCATATAAATATGTATTGATAGAACGAGAATGCATGGAAGCAACTCGCAAGAGCGTAGCACGCGGCACGCGATGAAGCCTTCGACTGCTTTAAACCGTCCTCTCCCCTCATCCTTCTCAGTCCCCCTTTTCCTCGCCCGCAAAACACGCATATGAGAGCTCCGCGTCAAGAATTCAGAGGGGCGGGAGGAGTAATATTAGCAGCAGGAGGAATAGGTAAACAGGTATACCTGCACACGCAGAGTATCGTCGCCGTACATGCATGTGCACCATAATGCATACACACGATTATCTGCTGGCCCAGGCATACGGCAAAGGGTATGACAACGCCACGTCATGCGCCACGGGCAGACGCATGGATGTGGAGCGCATTTTTCGGGACCTCTATGGCCGCCCCCCCGCGGCTGCCTACGTGCGCCTCTACACTCGCGACCGCTCCCCCGCGGCCGCGGCTGCCAACTGCAACTGCCAACTTCCAAAGGCAGCCTCAGAGGAGCCTGGCCGATTTTGTGAGGATGGTCCAAGCGAGACCGCCGACACCGACCAAGTTTGGTCGGGGTGGGCTCTCCCAAGAGAGCCCGAATATGGCCCAAGAAGAGCCCAAGATGGCCCCGATGGAGTCTAAGAAGGTTTTCAAGAAAAACAAAGGGAGCCAAGAGAACCCTAAGACAGCCCCAGAGGAGCCTGGCCGTTTTTGTGAGGATGTTCCAAGCGAAACCGCCGACACCGACCAAGTTTGGTCGGAGTGGGCTCCCCAACAAGAGCCCAAATATAGCACAATAAGATCTCAAGAGGGGCCCAAGAAGGCCCCGAGGGGGTCCAAGAAGGCCTCCAAGACGGCCCAAGAGAGCCAAGAGAGCCCGAAGACAGCCCCAGGGGAGTACGGCCGATATTGCGAGGATGTCCCGAGCGAAACCGCCGACACCGACCAAGTGTGGTCGGGGTGGGTTCCCCAAAAGGGCCCAGAGATGGGCCAAGAAGAGCCCACGAGGGGCCCAAGAGGGCCCCGAGGGGGTCTAAGAAGGCCTCCAAGACGGCCCAAGAGAGCCGGAGGAGGAGGAGGAGGAGGAGGAGGAGGAGGAGGAGGAGGAGGAGGAGGAGGAGGAGGAGGAGGAGGAGGAAAGAGAGCCCTAAGACAGCCCCAGAGGGGCCTGCCCCTTTTCGTGAGGACGTCCCGAGCGACACCGCCGACACAACAAGTTTGGTCGGGGTGGGCTCCCCAACAAGAGCTCAAATGTAGCGCAATCAAATCTCAAGAGGGGCCCAAGAGGGCCCCGAGGGGTCTACAAAGGCCTCCAAGACGGCGAAAGGAAGCCAAGAGAGCCCGAAGACAGCCCCAGGGGAGTACGACCTATTTTACGAGGATTTACCCCCCGAAACCGCCGACACCTACCAAGTTTGGTCGGGGTGGGCTCCACAAAAAGAGCCCAAAGATGGCCCAGAAGAGCCCAAGAGGGGCCCAAGAGGGCCCTGAGGGGATCTAAGAAGACCTCCAAGACGGCCCAAGAGAGCCCTAAGACAGCCCCCAAAAACGCCCGGCCGTTTTCGTGAGGATGTCCGGCCAAGCTTTAAAAACATTTGAACCCCCCAGGGCCCTGGATTCCCAAATCTTCAGAATCCTCCAGAATCCAAGAGATCTGGATTGTCAACAGTTTCAAAACTGTTAAAAGTTTGAAAAGTGTGAAGCGTTCGACCCCCCCTGAAATAAGTTTTAAAACTTTTGAAACTGTTGAACCCTCCAGGGCCCTGGATTGCCAAATCTTCAGGATCCACCGAAATCCCAGAACTCCGGATTTTCCAAACTTTTAAACTTTACAGCTTTAGAAGTTTCAAGAATGTCGAACCTCCTAGCAGCCTCAAAATTCTAAACCTTTTTAAAAACTGTTGAACCCCCAAGGCCCTGGATTCTCAAATCTTCAGGATCCCCCGACATCCCGGCAATCTGGATTCTCAAACAATTCAATACTTAAATTTGTAAATTTCGTGTCATTTTTGAACCCCCTAAAACTTTCAAAAAGGTTTATTTGTTCAAAGCTTTTGAAACCCCCAAGGCCCTGGATTCCCAAATCTTCAGGATACTCCGATAATACGGGAATCTGCATTCCCAAAGCTTTAAACACAAAGTTTTGAACCCCCTGCAACTTTTAAAAGTTTCAAAACTTTTCTACAAGTTTGAAACTTTTGGGAATCCTATGGCCCATGGATTTCCAAATCTCCACCGCGGGGCGGGCATAGGGGGTTTCGGGACGCTCGAGCGCCGTCGAGTCCAAGGCCTGCGGCGCTTGCCAGGTCAAGGGGGTCCCAGGGGGTGGGTGGGAGGGGGGGAGCGAGGACGAGGTGGTTGAGGAGGAAAAGGAAGAGAGGATGGAGGAGGGTCGTTCAAGCCACACGAAAGGGTACGTCCGAAAGGGAGCGGGGGGGGGAAGGGGCGGGGGGGGGTCTGGGAAATGCTGCTGGTCGGCCGTACCCTCCTCCCTCCACCTCCCTCCTCCTCCTCCCTGCTTCTCCTCCTCCTCCTCCTCCTCTTCTTGCCCTCTCCTCGTCGTCTCCTCCTCCTCCTCCTCCTCCTCCTTTCCTCCTCCTCCTCCTCCTCCTCCTCCTCCTCTTCCTTCCGTCCTCCTCCTCCTCCTCCTCCTTTCCTCCTCCTCCTTCTCCTCCTCCTCCTCCTCCTCTTCCTCCTCCTCCTCTCCTCCTCCTCCTCCTCCTCCTCCTCCTCCTCCTCCTCCTCCTCCTCCATCCTCCTCCTCCTCCTCCTCCTCCTCCTCCTCCTCCGTCCTCGTCGCCCTCGTCCACAAAGGCGGTCCTTGCGCGCCGCCCGCTCCGTCCGATGGTGCCGCGCCGCCGGCGCCGTCTCGGAACCCCAGGGAGGCCTCTGCGGCGCGGCGCCGCCGGTCGTCGTCGCCGTCGTCGTCGTCGTCGTCGTCGCCGTCGTCGTCGTCGTCGTCGTCGTCGCCGCCGTCGTCGTCGTCGTCGTCGTCGTCGTCGTCGTCGTCGTCCTCGTCGTCGTCGTCTTCGTCGTCTTCGTCGTCGTCGTCACCGAGGGGGGAGAGGAGAGAGGGGAGGGGAGGAAGAGGTGGCGGCGGCGGCGGAACAGCTACGCAATGGTCAACACATGAGTTCGGCCAGGGCGAGCTGGCCGCTGCGCGCCAGGCTCACTCTGGTCCCTGCGATGCGGAACTGGGTGCGTCCCCTGTGCAGTGCGTATGTACGCTGGCCCGTCCAGGAAGCACCCAACTCACCATCGAACAAGATCTCAGCAGCCAGGGGGAAGAGAAGGAAGAGGAGAGGCGGACGAACCCTTTATGGGGCTCTCTGCGGGTCTGAGGGGCTGGTTCTGGGCAAATGGGGGTCGTTCGTAACTGGGTCGCGCAAAGATGCATCATTTCATCCTGTGGCGCACGGCGCGTGGCAACACCGTGCTGACACTGCACGACGTGCGCATCCCGCACGAACGATTGCACGAACTGCTGCGAAGACTTTTGGGGCCCCTCCGCAAAGGACCCATTCGCCCGAATCCACCGGGGGTCCTATGGAAACCTCTGGGGACCTGGGCGGAGATCTCGGAGGCCCCGTGGCCTTGCACAGGCCCTCCAGAGCCTCTGCGGCGGGTCGGACAGACTGGGCCGGGCGGCGAAGGGGAAGGGCACGACCACTACGTGCGGGCGAGACCTCCTCTTCCTCCTCTTCCTCCTCCTCCTCCTCCTCCTCTCCTCCTCCACCTCCTCCTCCTGCGCCATCTTCTCCTCTTCCGAGCATGAAGCGGGTCCCGAGGAAAAGGGGACCTGGACCCTGGTGCGGGCGAGACTTGTGTCCATATCCACTGCAGCTTGGAGTTTCGGGCTCCCTTCCCTGGAAGCCCGAGGCGCAGTGGACGTGGACAACAGTCTGACCCCTAGAGGCTCGATTCTGTACCCATATCCAATGCACCTCGGCCTTCTGGCGTCCCTCCCAGACGCACTGGGTATGTACATAGTTCTTGCCCGCGCTACAGTCAATGCGTATAACAAGGATGCACGATGAGGATACACGTTGCTCTGTGTGTGGAGCTCCCAACATGTGCATCTCATGCTTTATGTCATGCCATAGCGAGCGTCTGTTCAGGAGCGCTTGACTATAATAGCCAGCGCGCGAGCCGCCCCCGCGCAGCCTCGTCCGCCTCGGCGGGCCTGGGGCGCGTCAGCCCCGCGCCGGGCGGCCTCCAGACGACGAGGGGCTGCGCGCGGGAGCGAGGACGGACGCAGGCGCGAGGGGAGAGGGCGGAGAGGCGAGGCGCGGGGAGGGGAACGCGAGCCGAAGCCAGGACGAGGATATCATCAGGTGAGGATATCCCTCCTCCTCCTCCTCCTCCTCCTCCTCCTCCTCTTCCTACTCCTCCTCCCCCACCTCCTCCTCCTCCTCCTCCTCCTCCTCCTCCTCCTCCTCCTCAATTCGGGAATCTCTGAGATCTGGCGGCTCTAGAGGATGTCGCGGGCGCCGCGGCCTTCCCGGAGCGTCCCGGAACGCTCTGAGAGCGTTCTGGATGGCTCTGGAACGGATTTATCCTCGTCCTAGCCCCGCCCGGAAGAGGCCCCTCCATCGTCCCTGCAAGAGTTCGGATCTTCACTTGTGCTCATTTCTGATCGCTCCTGGCCCCGGGAGTGCCACACCCAGGAAGCCCTGGACAGAGCGACGCGGTATCCGTGGCAGCGCAAGACGTCCAAGACGACGACGGAGGCGCGCCTCGTCCCTCCGTCGGCGTCGTCGTCGTGGTCGTGGTGCGTCCTGTTCTGCTGCGGGGGCCTGGTTCACCCTGTCCGCCACCACCTCCGTCCTCCATGTTCCAGTTGTTTCTCATCACGCGGGCCTTCTCCTCCTGTCCCTGCTGCTGCTCCGCCTCCTGGAGAGGGTTGAGGGACATACGCATATACACATGGTTGTACACACGTATACATTTCAATATATGTATATTTCGATATGTGTGTATAACTGTGTATGTACCTATGCATGCGTATATATATATATATATATATATGTGTATACAGGTATACGTGTATATGTATATATATATATACGTATATACATATATACATATAAAGCCACAAAACTCACCATGAAACCCGCATTACACTTGGCAGATAACAGCAAGAAAAACTCGTTTCTAGGTGCACGCGTCGACCGTGGAGGCACGGGTTTCACAGTGGGCTGGGTGTTGCGTTGGAGAGGAGCGCTGTTGAGTTTTGGGTGTGGTGTTGGAGACGGGGGGAGGTGATAGAGTATTGGATACGGTGTTGGAACAGAAGGCTGTTGAGAATTGCGTGGTGGTGGTGGTGGTGGAGACGTAGGGACAGGAGGACAAGGGCATTCCAAGAACATCTTTGGGAAGTCGCCTGTTGAGTATTGGGTGCCGTGCTGGGGGAGAAGGCTGGTGAGTACTGGGTGTGCTGTTTGAAACGGGGGGATACGAGAAGAAGGGCATGTTCAAATCTATAGTGGGGAGGTAATATGTTGAGTACTGGGTTTTGTGTTGAAGGAAAAGGCTGTTGAGTATCAGGTGCGGCAATGGAGACAGAGGGAGTTGAGTAGAAAGAGATGTAACAAGTTCATCTGGTAGAGGGAGCCTGTTGACTATTGAATGCGGTGTTGGAAGGCAGGCTGTTGAGTGTTGGGTTCGGTGTTGGAGACGGAGGGAGTTGAATAGACGTGATGTTCAAGTTGATCTTGGGGCGGGAGCCTGCTGCGTAGTGGGTGCTGCGTTGGAGAAGAAGGTTTTTGATTACTGGGTGTGGCGTTGGAAACGGAGGGAGCGGAGTGGAAGGTGATTTTGAAAGTCATCTTGGGGAGAAAACATGTTGACCAGTGGGTGCTGCGTTGGAGAGGAACCTGTTGAGTATCGGGTGTTCCTTTGGACACGGAAGGGTGCAAGTAGAAGGTTACTGTCAAATAGACCTTTGGGAGGAAACTGTTGAGTATTGCGTGTTGTGTTGGGAAGGGAGGTTTTTGAGTATTGGGTGCGGCGTTGGAAACGGGGGGCTGGACTAAAAGATCAGGTTTAAATTCAGATTGGGAAGGGAGCCAGTTGAGATTTGGGTGTTGCAGTAGAGAAAAAGCCTGTTCAATAGTGGGTGTGGAGATGGAAAAGGAGGGAGTGAAGTACAAGGTTGTCTCAAGCTTATCTTGGAAAGGGAAACTGCTGAGTGGTGGGTGCTGCGTTGGAGAAAGAATGCTGCTCAGTACTTGCAAGGGCGAACGTCGCGCCGAACTTGAGCCGACATTTTTTGAATAAAAAATGGCATCGTGGTGAAGGCTATTACGTTGGAGGTTTTCGATGAGGATACCTTCGATAAGGAACCCGAGGGTCTCGCGAACGATGGGCGGCCGAACGTGGGCCACCCACCTCGCCTTGAAACAATAATGCTCCAAGGTCTAGGCCCCAGGAAGACGTTCCTTGTCCAATGCCGCTGCCGTATATATATATATATATATATATATATACATGTCTCTATATATAAATACATATATATATATATATATATATATAGCGAGGAGCAAATGGAGGGTGGCCTCCGAAGTGCAGGGCAGCGCAGTCAGACAGCCCGCATCCTCGCCACAGGTGGCGAAAGTCTCGCCGCGGGCACCGAAAGCGTGCCTCCACGACGCAAAACTCATGTCCTGTACGCGCAGCGCGCGACCCGGCGCGCGGTACATCTCCGCGCATAATGCACGAGTCGGTTTGCAGGGACTACCAGCCGGGGATGACCCCAACGTCCCCGAGTTTGGCATCCAGAGCAAGCGCGCCGAACGGGACAGGGGGTCAAGGACCCAACTGCGGGACCAGCCGTAGGCCCGTCCGAGAATGTAAACCCTGTCAAAACTTGGAAAGATGAAGCTGGGCCGTCGGGCCGCGCACGCACTGGCCGCGACAATTCTGGGAGGGACCTCGCGCGTTGTCTTTGGAGCACGCCCCGTGCGCCCCGCACAAAACAACGAACGGGCCCGCCAGCAACAAACGGTGCCCCTCTACACTCTGGCAACGTGTTTGCCTGAGGGTCGTGCCATCCTTGGCCACTCGTAAGCACGCATCGAACCTGGCCTTCGAAATGGATCTACGTCGTGCATCCGCGGAGAGCCGCGGGGGGGTCCTTCTCCTACCTTCGCGCGCCACATCACGACGCGAAGTTTGGAGGTGCGCAGGGCCCGCCGCCCTGGTGGAACGGGAGGGGCACCTGCAAACATGCGCGGCGATGCTGGCAGACTGCTCAACACGATGGTTGGCTGACTCGTCGCATGGGTGCATGGCAGCACCCTCTGGCAAAGCCCGGTCGGCAAACGGGATTCCCCGAGTGCGTGAACCTTGCGTCACCAGGCCCCCACACCTTGGGAAACCAAACGGCACAGATACCGCAACTCCTCGGACCTCTCGTTGGGCGCGTTCTGACCAGAACTCCGAGGCAAACCCAACGGTGGCGACGAGGGCCTCAAAAAGAGACCCCGAAAGGGAAACAAGGGCGAAGGCTAGCGGTAATTATGGGTGCCTTGTCCTCCTCCGAACGTCATCGGCGCGAGGGCGTGCCTGCAGAGTTTCCCCCGGGGCCGTAGGCGACCAGAGGAGAAGGAGAAGGAGGAGGAGGAGGAGGCGGAGGAGGGGGAGGGGGAGGAGGAGATGGAGGAGGAGGCGGGGGGGAGGGGGAGGGGGAGGAGAAGACGGAGGAGGAGGAGGAGGAGGAGGAGAAGAAGGAGGAGAAGGATGATGAGGAAGAGGAGCGAGGAGGAGGACGGGTCGCCCAAGCCCTTCGGAGAAACCCTTCAGGCGTGCCCACAACGCCAGCGCTCGCCCTTGGACGAGAACGTCAGCGGAGAGCTGCCGGCAGTGCCCCTAGGTGTCTTCCAACTCCCTCGCTTCTTGACCCGCCTCTGCCCGCCGGCTCCTCGCCCGTCTCGCGCGCTCGTGCCAGTGCCTCCCGTCGAGTGCGCAGAGGGAGTCTCCTGCTGCTGCCGGCTCGGAGAGCGCGTTGATCGGACCATGGTCCACCCCCACTGCCACAGGTAGGGGAGGAGGAAGAGGAGGAGGAGGAGGAGGACGAGGAGGAGGACGACGAAGAGGAGGGCGGGAGGAGGAGCAGGAGGAGTTCCTCATCCCCCTTTCTCCCCCGTCCTACAGATGGTAACGATGGTGGAAGACTTGCCCATCACGCGTCCCCCCTTTTGGCGGGAAGATCCGGAACTGGGCCGGACCAGGGCGACTGGAATGAGAAGCTACCTCGGATCAGAAGTCTCCGCGTCAAGCCCGCGGGCTCCCGTGATTTCGAGCCGAAACGGCCGCGGAGGAAGGAGAGGGGGGAGGGAGGGCGCTGGAGGGGCGGGGCGGGGGAGGGCGGAGAGGGAAGGGAGGGAACTGGGGGAACGGCAGAAAGGGGAGCGGGAGGAGAAACGAGCAGAACGAGGGGGACCAGCAGGGACCGATCAGCGAGTCCCGCCCGTCCCCCCCGCCCCCCAAACATTGGAACGACTGCCAACACACATCCCGACAAATACCAACCGTTGGCACACGACCGGGGCACTCTGACGCAAAAGCTCCGCGGGACGACCGTGACGTTGGACGCGGCTGCCCGACATCAGTGCGGGACCCCCGACGCGCCCAAACTTCGCAGATGGTTTTTGAGGGCGACCAGATCTCAAATACTGTTTGGTGTCCACCGTACGTGACAAAACGCGCGCTGGAGGGGAAGGTCCAGACAGAGCGCGGCATGCGTCCGTTTGTGCTCACATGCGAAATGGCGATGGGGCTCTCCCCGCAAAGTGTTTCTAAGTGCCTGCACGTGCAGTGCTCGTGCACTTGCAGCGCTACTTTTTCGGTGCGAGCCCTCCCTGGGCAAACGGCCAAAAGCCACGTGCCGCGACCGAGCGGGAGCGCAACTTGCAGGAGGAAAGCGTGTGGCACTAAAGCGAGAACGACGCCATGGCATTCTCCCGCATGGACCTCGTGTTCAGCTGGACCCGCGAGCACGCAAATGTTCGCCGACGAACCCAAGCGGGAACAATTCAAACGACAGTTGCTCGGCAACCCGGCGATGGTAGCCCGACGCCCCTGTCTCTCTCGCGTAACATCGCTTCCGACGGCTTCCACTGCTCGAACCTCGGACTGTCAGGTGTTGTGTCTGCTCCCCTGGGCGAACCAAAAACCCCTCGTGCTCTGTACTTGGATTCCACCGTGGGTATG